CCTGGACCGAAACTCATTAAAGGCGTAGCGGTGGTCGTAAGAATATCCGAATTCAAGATTAAACACTTAAATAGATGTCTGCGAAGTACGACAAACAACCCAAATAGTGGTTAATGCACGACGCTCACCGAAAGAAATACCCACTTAACTAATTCCTTGAAGGACTTTAAACTGATAACGCTATGTGTACCCCCAAGCCGGATGTAAAAATGTTGACATGTTCTCACTATCTGATCACTCTTTGTCAATACAAGCGAGTTCCAGTTAAGAAGAGGGAATTGCGATCGTGATAAACCAAGAATTTTATTATCATGACGTTTCGATTTTTTCCTCAAACCCTTTTCTACGACTTTCCCTAATGATAAATTACAGTGGGACTCTGAAACGCTAGGCGAATTAAATTATTGTTCCAGTAATCGCATCTCCTCTTGCATATGTCCTGCGAGTTTTTTGTTAGATCATTGAACTTAGAAAGCCCACAGTAATGCCATTTATCTAGACAACTAGTCGCTGTGCTGTTGGTGGCGGGGCTCGAGAATGAGTTCCAAGGCAGAGCGGGACGGGTGAGTTCTGCTAGCGATCGGTGAACGTTCATCAACGAGTGTCATTATCCCCCGATATAAACCGGCAAGACAACGAGCTTGTTGCCCAATGGCTAGAGCGTCAGACTTCTGATCAAAGGGTCGCGATTTAGAGTCTCGTTTGGTGCACCAGCTGGGGTTCGGTATGACTGGCTGACGACGGCCAACAAGCCAGAAATGGCCGTTCCTGTCTCCCTTGGCTTTGCCGGTAATGCTGACTGAAAGAAATGTCCAGCGTTGTGTTAAGCTCTTTTTCTTCAATGTTCTTGTAGATGATGGCGTCGTCCGTGCCCCTTCCTCCTCCCCTTCCCGCCGACCGTACGCTCGGTCAGAAACCGAGTATATGGTAAGCGCTCCACCAACAGCCTCTGCCCTTCAGAGCACAGCTGCTTGTGTAAACATTTTCTTTAATTACCTATCTTAACGTTCGGGTTTGTAAGCTGATTGTATTAAAGCACAAACTAAAAATGACTCGCTCTATCCTTTTTTTGTTTTAGGGTTTCCATCGGCCAGAAAATTGCAAAATACAAACCACTTAACCTGGGACAGGTAATTTACTTATGAATACACGTCTTTTGCAAAGTTTAGATAAAAATCTAACCA